TTTATCTATGTCTATATAAATATATATTTTAACATATTTGGGATAGAAGTTCATGTCATGTGGGACAGTTTTTGTTCCCAATATGCATCTCAGGAGAAAATACATGTCCCTCACGGCATAAACGCTGATCCTAAAGATTTAAAGAGAATCGTTTTCGTCAAGGCACAATTTTTTTTTTTTTTTATCACAACCCGCGTACCTAAACGGTGGCGTGCGACTCCCGTAGAGTTTATTCTGGCTATCACCGCGCCGTCACACGCAATAATAACGTTCTTTTGTTTATTTCTAGAGTCGGGAACTATTTTCAGACCAGGAGCTTTATGCAAATGAATCCTACAACGGCATTATCGCTTTTAAGATCCCTTTTTTATGCACCAATAAGAATTCTAAAGTGTGTAAAATTCGTGTTCTTGGCAAGCGATCATACGCAAACTTTTTCCTTTCTTTTTTTAGCGTCGTGAACATCTTTAAACTGTTGCCGCTGTTGGTTCTACTCTTAATAGTTGTTGTTTTTTTAGAATCTCCGTGGCAGAAAATAAACTGTTCTTACTCGGTGTTCCATCTTCGAAATAAAGGTCTTTTACTTGAATATACTTTTGTTTCTTTTTATCCTCTTTAAGTCTTCTTTTTTTTAGTCCCCGTGTTCTTTCAAGATCTTTAGTTTATTGACTGAACTAAGAGGTCGAGGAGACGTTCGCGTTTGCTTGTTTCCTCCAGTTTACATTGCTAATTATTTACTTACATATTTATTTTTTTTCTATTTCTTATCATTCTTACATTTATCTTTCATATTATTCATTGTTTTTTTATCAGCTTTAACTTAATTAGTTTAAAGTATATTTATCCATTATGTATTTATTTGGCCATTTAAAATTTATTGACATGATTATTCTTATTTACTTGTATGGCTAACGAAAAAAAAACTAAAAACAACGAAAGAAAAACAATATCAGTATCACTATCATTTTATCATTGCTATATTATAACACCTGTTGTTATAGCCTTATCATCAACACTCTTACCCCCTTTGGAAAAAATATATATATAATAATAAATAAATACAGAACTCACCAAAACTCTGCGTAATCCAGATGCCGAACATATCCAGGTGGAGCAGGGACTTGTAGCAGCTCTCCCCAGCGCGGTGGTTCATGAACAGGTGGTAGATGGTGGATCCGACCCAGGGACTCACGGTGGACACCAGGTGAGTCCAGGGCAGGAGCGGGACGGTGATCTCAGACCAGGGCAGCAGCGTCCTCCATCGCAGCAGGATATACAGCATGGGCACGCCTGTTGGGAAGGAGGGAGGGCTTAGAGGAAGGCTGGAAACTTATGAAGACATGGCTGAGAGAAAAAAGGGGGAAAGAGGTCCCTGTAAATCAACAAAATATAGGAACACTGTCACACGGCGAACGAGGAGCTAGATTTGCAACAATTGTGTATCTGTTGGGAGAGGAGAACAGGTTAAAGAAAGGTATTTTCTTTGTCGTTGGTGTATTGCAAATTGCTCAATCAAACAAGAAACATCAAAAGGGGAATGGAAGTCTATGAGGAACTTGAACTGGGCCACAGGGACACTTACATGAGAAGATATGCAATGTACACGGAAGAGGCAGTAAGAGGTAAATCGAGAATGTTTTGCCAAAAAAAGGATATAAATCTATTTATAGGCGAGTGACATGACTGTGGGATAGTATGGAAAATGTATGATAATTCGGACGATTCTTCACTGTGACAAGATGAGCAGCTTGGGCATCTGTTAGATTGTTAAAACATGGAAACTTTTTTTTTCTCCAAAAGGAATATTACGCAAATCGAAGTAGACATATGCACGGAATCGGTCCATCTGATAGGAAGGAAGTACCGATTATAAAAGGAAATTTGCCTTTTTGTAGGCCCATCCACACTGAAAAAACAACGTAGTAACACCATATTCACCGGCGAGGATGAAGCACCTCGGACCATAGTAACAGACCTCATCAAAAGAATATGCAGGTCTTTATCATGGAAATTACCTATGAAGGGATGACTGGATAAAAAAAAATGCTTTATTATGGGAAAATATGATACTGTAGGATGCATTACGCTAATTGAGGCGAGGGGAAACGCACCTATGACGTAACATTTGACCTTAAACCTTTCTTGCTGTGACTCATTCTCTGAACTGCCTCCCGAACGCCTACGCCCGAACGCCAAACAAGGCCCGCTAGCTATTATCCTCCTCCGTCCGGCACAAGCGGACCGAGCCGGATGAATGGTAAATCAAAAAGCGTCTGTCCGGAGTGAATGCAGTGCTGATCCCGCGTAGGTGAGTGTTTTCCTGAAATGGATCCACGCGGCGCTCGTATGTTTATGTTGACTGATCTGCGCCGCTGCCAACACCTACAGATCCCCGGTGGAAGTAACACTTTCCTTTTCACTCTCACTCTCATTCTCACTCTCTCTCTCTCTCTCTCCCTCTCTCTCTCTCTCTCTCTCTCACACACACACACCTCTCTCTCTCTCTCTCTCTCTCTCTCTCTCTCTCTCTCTCTCTCACTCACTCACTCACACACACACACATACACACACACACCTCTCTCTCTCTCTCTCTCTCTCTCTTTCTCTTTCTCTCTCTCTCTCTCTCTCTCTCTCTCTCTCTCTATATATATATATATATATATATATATATATATATATATATATATATATATACATATACATATACATATATATATATATATATATATATATATATATATATATATATATATATATATATATATATATATATCCTACTTTTCTCTCACTCTCCTTTACTCTCCCTCCCTCCCTCCCTCTCTCACCGTTGCACAATCAACCCTATTGCAACACCCACTCCAACCATATCCAAACTGAGACACAATAACGCATCCTGCTCCCTGCTTCGCTCTCCCTTTAGCATTCAACTGTCCTATTCAGGGAAATTATGGGTCAGTGTGCCTTTTAAGCGGCCGGAGGAGAGGACGGACGACGGAGAGGGGAAAGAATGGAGAAGAGAGAAGGTGGGAGAGAGAGGAGAAAGGAGGGGAGAATAGGAGATACAAAATAAAAAGGACACGAGAGAGGAGGAGTAGAGCAGAGGAAAGGAGGAGAAAGTAGAGAAAAAAACACGATGAGATGAGAGGACAAAAGAAACGGAAGTCGGGAGAGAGAAGAGGAAACAAACAAAAATGAAAAGTACGGGGAGGACGAGAAAGAGGAAGGGGAAGGCACAAGTAAAAAAAAAAGAAAATGGAAGACAAAAGAGGAAAGGGAACGGGAAGGGGAAAAGGAAGGGGAAGGCGCAGAACGGACGTGGAAGGCGGAAAGGGGAGAGAGAAGGAGGAAGGAGGGCGTAGGGAGGAGCACGCTGCACCGCCCGTGTTTACATCCTCCGCCCATCTCTCGCGTCCGCCTTGACGAGGGGCGGCGGCCGGCGGCGCATTTCGCAGGCCGCGTGTTTACCTCCGGGGGACGAAATGGCCGGCGGGGGAGCGTCCGAGCCTTCATAACCTCGAACGATCAAAACAGGGAAAGAAAGAGGAGGGAGATATTTGTATGTATGTACATACAAACATACATTCATACACGCGCGCGCGCGCGTGTGTGTGTATTATGTATGCATGTATACATGTGTATGTATGCATATGTATCTATGTTTATGTATATATATGTATATATGTGTATGTATATATATATATATATATATATATATATATATATATATATATATATATATATATATATATATATATGTGTGTGTGTGTGTGTGTGTGTGTGTGTGTGTGTGTGTGTGTGTGTGTGTGTGTGTGTGTGTGTGTGTAACAGAGAGAGAGAGAGAGAGAGAGAGAGAGAGAGAGAGAGAGAGAGAGAGAGAGAGAGAGAGAAAAACAGGTCGAGACGTGACACCAGAGGAGGTAAGAGGGGAGAGGAGGTGGCGTGCAATTGCCGCTTCCTATTGCAATGGTTCGTGACTCTTCGTGCGTCCTCCTGACCCGCGGGCCTCCTCCTCGCAGCATTCCCTTTCCTTCGCCTCCTCAACATCCTCTTCCTCCTCCTCCTTCTCCATTGTTCCTTTCCTCTTTCTCACTCTCTTATTCCCTTCTTCCTCTTTCTCACTCTCTTATTCCCTTCTTCCTCTTTCTCACTCTCTTATTCCCTTCTTCCTCTTTCTCACTCTCTTATTCCCTTCTTCCTCTTTTCCTCCTCCCTCTCCCACCCTTCTTACTCTTCCCCTTCCCTCCTCCTCCCCCTTCCCATAGCTTCCCTATCACTTCCTCCACCCTCATCCTCCCTTCTTTCTCCCCCCCCACACCCTCCTTTCCGCACCCCCTCCCCCCACCCTCCTTTCCGCAGCCCCGCCTGCCCCCGCCCACAGTGCCCGTCTCCTTGCGGTCAGCCGGTGCCCAATCATCTCCAAGCGACGAGGCACAGTGCCACCGCTGATCGAGTTAAGGCCCTTTTAGAGCTGCCTTTGCTCGCGAGGCAGACCTTGGCATGCGTGATTGGAAAATTGCTCGCCTTTACACAACTCGACACCGCTGCTCCGCCCTCGAAGGCGCTCGCTCGCTTGCACAAGAAGCCCCGCTCGCAGGCTCAGTGTTTGCGCCTCGGGCCTGGAGAGCGACCTGGGCCCGGACTGTTTGGATGTGTGTAGGTATTCGCATGGCAGTTTGCATGTATATTTGCGTGTTTACGTGTGTGTGTGTGTGTGTGTGTGTGTGTGTGTGTGTGTGTGTGTGTGTGTGTGTGCGCGTGTGTGTGTGTGTGTGTATGTGCGCGCGTTTACGTACGTCCCACAGACCAAAAGATTTGTATGACATTTTTTTTTACTATCTATGACTACAATTAGAAAAAAAAATCTTAAACACTCAACTCGGCATAACAACTGCGTCATTCAATCCTACGCAGCCTATACACGTGTTGCATGTCGGCTACGTACAAAAAATGAAACCTTAGACTCTGAAAGAATTCCATTTTATACCAATCTTTCAGATACATCCACACAAACAGACCTGCTGCACATCCGCCCACACACACGCACGCGCACCTTATAAGCCAACCAGTGGACATCCACGCTCGATATTAAACACTGTCGAATAGTATTGCGTTTGTCTCTCTTTCTCTCTCTTTATGTTTTATTTCTTTCTCGTCCTTCCTTTCTTTCTTCTTCTTCTTCTTTTTCCTTTCTTCTCTTTCTCTCTCCCTCCCTCCCCATCTCTCTCTCTCTCTCTCTCTCTCTCTCTCTCTCTCTCTCTCTCTCTCTCTCTCTCTCTCTCTCATTTTTCTCTTTTTCTCGTTCTCCTCTTTTTCCCCCTCGCTCACTCATTCCTCCCCTCCTTTCGTCCCTGGCTTCCTCCCTCACTCCCTCCCTCCCTCCCTCCCCCCCTTCCCTCCCTTTTTTCCCCTAATAATCTATTCCTCCGCGCCTTCCATTCATGGCATTTCCGCTGCGAGTGACGGCGAATGCAGCTATTTCGGGGGGTCGACTCAGTTATTTTTTTTCTTCTAAATACAGAAAAACAGAAAAAAGTGTGGGTAAAAGAGAGAGGAAGGAAGAGGAATATATATATGATTTGGAGGGAGGATGAAAGTGAAAACGCGTAGGGGGGAAAACGGAAGAGAGATAGAGAAAGGGAGAACCGTACTAGTAGAAAAAGGAGAGTAGGTATGGCTAGAAAAGAAAAGAAAAATGTAGAAAAGGAAAATGGAAAGCATAGACGAAGGGATAGGATAACGGAAAACAAAAGGGGAAATACATAAATAAAGAAAAATATGTACAATACGAAAAGGACGAGAAAGAGATAGAAAAAGCAAAACATAGTAGAGAAAAGGAAATAAAGGAATAACGCAGACGAAGAGTACAAAAAGAAAGAAAAAAAGGGAAAAGAGAAAAAAAGTAAGAATATTCACGGCCCGAGGTCCTGTCTTCGAAAGGTTGTTAAGACAGAGACAAATGATGGATCAGCGATCATCCGGGATCTTCACATGCACGCAGAGGGCGGTGTTCCCGGGAGACATTGGCGTGACTCACGGGGGTGGTGGGGGGGGGGGGCTGTCAGAGGGAGAGGGAGAGGGAGAGGGAGAGGGAGAGGGAGAGGCAGAGGGAGGGGAGAGGGCGAGACTTAGAGAGGAGTTGGGGGAGACCGAGGGGGTGAAGGGGGTGTTGGGGGAAGCAGGAAGCAGAGTTGGGGGGAAGAGGGAGAGGAGCTGCGAGTGGGAGAGAGAGGAAACTAGGGACGAAGTGGAGTTATGGTTAGAAAAAAAGGGAAGAGGATGGGAGAGGAGAA